ATCCCCAGATGCTGGATGCAAACCAACAATGGGAAATAAAGGAAGCAATAGAGTGGGTCACTAAACCAGCTGAGTTTAAACCCTTGTGGATTAAGAAACCAACTTTCCAGATGAGGATACGCATGTCCAGATGGGACATGCAACCATTTCAAAGGCTGGAGAGTCAATTTTTTTATTTCAGTAATGATACAGTGACTCCAGTCAGTACTTTAGTGTAATGTTGATACTGTTCCTTCACATATTTGGAGTTCAGTTTGAACTAGTTATTCAGAGTACCATCAAATGTATTTGCTACAGGACCTTGACACACATTCTGCACCTGTATTCCCTTAAGTTTAAAGAAATAGTTTGTTTCTAAAAAAAAAAAAATGTAAAAGAACTGTAATGCCTGCATGAGGAAGGCAGCCAACATTTAATAGGAAATGTGAATGGACTTTTTAAAAAAAATGTGTGGTTTACAGTGAAATTGAAAGTTCAGTTCAAAATTTGTGCTCCCAACACACTATACTTAGCAGCACTGTTAAAACCCCAGATGTACAGTATGTGTATTTCTTTACTGCTCCACACACGCTGGTGTATATAATTCTTTACATTGCTGGTGGAGCAAAGCAGAAAAAAAATCAATAAAAAGTTTTATAACATGTGTTACTTTTTCTATAAAATGAGTAGAAAACAGTATGCTGAATCAACTGTTATTCCATCCTTTATGCTACTGAGTAACTCTGTTGAGAATTAAAAAAACAGAAGCAAGTATTGAACGTTTGTTATTTCCTTGCAGGCCTTAGCACTGCTAGGAATTGGTGTGGTAACCAGAGAACATGTGAGAATATGTGTAAGACCTTCAGGCTTTTTCCCAATCACTAATTGTTTCATGCAACTACTGCATAACATTTGGAGCTAGTGCCAAAATTCCTTTGCATTTCTCATTAAAGTTAAATACTACAGCTGAAATTTACTTGGTATATATCTCTGCTATTCCCTACCAAGTCTGCCTCCCTTCACTTTATCTCCCTGGTTCATTCTTCCCACACATGACTGCTATGAACAACCTGGAAATATATCAACATCATCATCATCATCATCATCATCATCATCATCATCATAGTAACTGCTAAAGTTTCATGTTCTCACATCAGTGAGAAGAAATATGGAAGAATGTACCCATGATTGCTCATATGAAAGGCTGAGAAGCAAGGCACAAAGAGTAAGTCCATTCTGCTCCGTGGAGCACACTGCAGCTCTGTGAGACAACTTGGACAACATTAGTGCAGAACAATGTATGCTGGACAACACAGTCTGTACAGAGCTCCAAGGCTGCTGAAGCTGATACCCCCTGTAGACCAAATATAATTAGCACAGCTCCCATTTTCCTCTATGCCTTTGGTGCTTAAGCATCAAGTGCAAATATGACCTTGCAGTGGCTACATGAAGGAGTGGATTTTTGGAGTGGATTTTTAGATTGGAGAGGTTCCTGGCTCCATTTCTTGTATCAACTCTCTTTTTGGTACACCAACGCAACCATAAAGATCAAAATCCTATAAAACTGTGCTGTTAGCACGTTGTAGTTCATTCTCTCAGTGGCACCAGGGGCACTGTCAGGGGTGCAGGGAGCGCTGGGGAGCCAGGAGCCAGTAGCATGGCTGGCAGGGCAAGTCTGGGGGTGGCAGCCAGGGACAACTGAGAGTCCAGGTTGCCAGACCAGGTCATGGTAAGAAGACAGCTCTGGGGGCAGGGCCAGGGCCAGTGACAAGGGCCATGGTCAGACACAGCCCAGTGACTGCCAGCCAGTCCCTGGTCATGAAGTTGGACCCAGGTCAGGCTGTAGGTCACAGTCCAGATGTGTGAGGTCCCTAGCTTGGCACAGCTGCAATGTCATGGCAGATGGTCACACCTGGAAGTAGCTCAGGCAGGGACTGAGGACTACTGTCTGAGCTGAGATGGAGCTTGAGGGCAGGCATGAGGGGTGGGAGAGCTCCAGTGAGGCTGGTCAGGGCCAGCAAGGCCACTCCTGCCCTCAGCACCCAGATGGCAGCTTCTCCACCAGAGATGTTTCCTCCCACCTGACAGAGATCTGGGCTCAGCCAGGACTTGCCCAAGAGTGATTTAATTGCTGTGGTGTGCTAGGGGCATTTTAGGGGACACAGAGCCAGGGCAGGGGCAGGGAAATGGGAAAGGGACGTGGTGGGGGGTGTAATGGAGCCAGATGGGGGGGCTCAGGCAGAACCTGAGTAGCCCCAAAGGCTTGGCAGGCTTATGGGGGTAAGCACAAAGTGGGGATTCTCAAATGGCCCCTGAAAACCCTCGAAGCCTCCCTTGTGAGAAGCTCACTCAGAAGCTTGGGTTTAGGCAGGGTCCAGTGCTGTGGGGGAGTCAGAGTCCAGAGCCAGGCCTACAGAAGGGTTGGTAGGGCAAGGCCTTGCCCAGCCAAGGCCAGGCTCTGTGATGCTGGCTTAGGGCTTGAGACAACTGTCATGGTGCCACAGGGGACAGCTGCTCCCAGGGGCGGAGGTGTGTGCCCCAGATGAGTCTCACCAGGGCCTGTCAGGGCACCCAGTGGTCCAGGCCTTCTTTGGATGAAATTGTTCTGTAACATTTTTGCATATATTGCAGCTATATTATAAGGTTGTAACCTTTCCTTTCCCTTAAAGAAACTCCTTCCTAGCTTTAGTAGTAAGTAACTGTCTTCAGCTATTTTTAAATCCTTTTCACATTAAGTATTTTTAATGAGTCCAGAGTCTAGAACTAATTCCCAGATATATAATATATAGTGAGGTGTCAGTAGACAGGCTGGTACCTTGTAAAATACCAGTCTCTAGCCTAAAGTAAATTGTGTTTTTTTTTATTACACCCATCTATTTGCCAAGCCTTGCCATCAGACCTTACAGAGCCAAACAACGCAAATTAACAAATTCTTCGTTCTCTGCAGCAACTGGAGACAACAGTGACTGCATCACCACAGTCCCTCTAGTGCCAGTTTCTCATGCCAAGCCCTGCTGCCAACATATTTCATTGAGCTGCTTGCTCTCAGCTGGTGTCTATCAGTAGATAGAACACTTAATTTGGGGAGGGGTGTGTTTTATAATGAACATCTATTAGGATGGGTTTATACTCATTAGTATAGACTTGCTTTACAAAGTAGAGGCCAGCCCTGAATACTGGTTTTACTTAAATGGTTTGTATAACCTTTTTCTTCTTTTCACCATAACATCTGAGAACCACATAAGCATTTAAAGTATTTATCCACAGAATTCCACTGTGAATAAGGGGAATACTACTTTTTGTTCTACAAACATGGGAAATTAATGTGAGGCCTGAACTGACTGAACTACCTAGCCAAGCCCAGACAGAAATCAGTAGCACGGCCAGAAGTTGCATCCTGATTCTTATCCAAACCTATCTTGTCTAGAAGGCCATCTCTCCTCTGGCTGGACTGGTCTCCAGGAGGAGGAGTGATTTCCTTCAGAAGAATCACTGCTATATTCACCTCAGCTGTCTCAAAATGGGAATAACTGCTCATTCACATAGGCAAGCACATCCCAAAGCTATGCAGCCCTGAGCATGTTGAAATGGAGCCAAGACAGTCCAGTCCCCACCACACCCCAAGTCCCTGCCTGGGGACATGGTTGGGTGACCAGAAGGGGTTGAGTTGGCTCCTACAGGAGCATAAGAAAATTCTGAGGCAACCTGTGAGGCACTTATTTGGCAGAGCTGCCCCATCAGTTCGTGTGAGCATTACACAATGGTTTCACTACAAAGTCGGCCACCTGTGCGTAGGTTGAGCCCATCCTTGTCCTGGCGTGGAAAAGCCATTTTCACTTGGCATTTTCGCTTCACTTTCACATCCAGTTAAGCATCAGTAATTTCCAAACTCATCCCAGTACAGCTATGCTCTTTGGCATGCAGTGATTTTTTTTTCTTCAGTGTACCTTAGTTTACTGTGTCAGGTGTAGTGCTCCTAACATAACAAATATAAGCTGATGGTTTTTAACACTGGCAATATCCTTGAACTTCAGTTCATTCAAATTCTTATATGATCTCTCATTTAAACGGAGCAATTAAAATAATTTGGATTTATTGAGACACACAGAAGGGACACTGCACAAGTTTTTATATGCTGTCCACCAGGACCCCCAGGTCCCTTTCCCCTACGCTGCTCTCCAACAGGTCATTAGTACTGGGTTTATCTCTAGTATGGACCTGGGGTCTCTGTGAATTAGGCCCACATTTGATAATATTTGATTATAAGATGGTATCTGAAAGCCTTGAAAGCATGTGTTATATAAAATACTCCAGTAGCAAGTGACTATGTAGATTGCTCTTTATTTTTGTTTTAAAAAAGATGTTGCTACATGGTGGTGCATTTGTCTTGTTACCCTACAAGCCCACCTACCTGCGGGCTACAAGGGGAAGTTAGAATTGTGGATTAAACTTCAAGCAGGTGAAAGTGAACAGTTTGTGGTTTTGATAAAGGTACTTGAAACCTAGGCTGTATCCTGTTTTCAGACACTTCACAGATGCCAGTCACTATGGTGGCAAACTCACCAAGTCAGCCTAATTAAAAGACTATTGATAAAAATATATCTATGAAGACCATGGGAAGTTTGAGTTTGTTTCACCTTGTTAGATCTCTCCCTTCAAGATCGTAAAGTAAAACAGAATTTACTTTTGCTTTCCAACTCTTATTTGCTACTATCTATAAACAAACACACCAAAATTAAATATGTATCATCCCTTCCAAAAGCTTTATTAAACATACACTCTTTAGAACCTATTTAAAGGCTTCTACAACCTTGAAGGAATCCTTTATCGTACACAGAAGTTCTTTTCAGTACTAAATAAAGCATGTGAGCTGGTGCTACTCACACACAGTAACTGAGTGGTAACAGAAGTGGCCACCGGTAACAGAAACAACACATAGGAAACTATCTCACAACTTAAAACTGGGCTAATCTGTTCTGTATAACTACAGTTCAGTACAGAAGGCAGGACTGGTCTACTAGTATGTTTCTTTTTCAGTAATAAAGTTTGTATCTTTTTAAGTATATAAAACCCTCACCACTTTAAGTACAGAAAAAACTAAGTAGCTTAGGTACATTTTCCCATTAATAGAAGCTGGTTTATAGCATTAAACAGCCATCTCCATTTTAATAGGTGGATGAGGATTATAATCTTCAATCTGAAAGTCTTCTGCCTTGAAGTCACTGATGTCTTCAACCTTACGAAGAATTCTGAGTTTGGGGAAAGGTCTTGGCTCCCTCTGAAGCTGAAATAAAGGCAAGCTTGTGTATAAAGCTAATACTTGAAGGCAGAGATTTTGTGTTGTAAGTCAGATCTCATGAATCTCAATTCAGATTACACTACGTAGATTCCCCCCTCCCCATGAAGATTACTCAAAACTAACAAAAAATAATGCAGTTAGGTTATCATCCAAACGCACAACAAACATTTTCAGTTTGCAAAGCAATTCCGGTGGCTTCAGATTAGATTCCTTCCAGAGGAAACTAAATTGGAAATTCTGACTCAGATGCGCATCAAATATGCTGCAGTTTCTCACAGGAACATTTGAGGCTGAACCAATAACTAGTTCTCCGGATGGTTTTGAACCATATAAATGGTGAGGAAATTCAGTTGAAGATAAGCCGAATCAAATAAAACTCTGATTCACTCCTTCTGCAGCAGATTACTTCCTGAAGAAAATACAGGCTTATTCAGTCAAATAGTAATACTGTTTACCTCTGTGAATTGATAAGTTATCCTTTTCTGATGTACTCTAAAGACATTTTATTTTGTGTTTATTTGTATTAGGCAGAATGTTTTTTTAAGGTTTTGTAATTATGAAGTCAAAAGTAGTGGTACAGATTCTGGATCTCTAACTTGGTCCCAGAATAGTACGCTGATGCGCATCACAATCTTCTTTGTATTGTATTTCCTCTTGCGACCCAAGTTGAACAGAGGTTAAGGTACTACAATTATTAGGGCAGAAATGAAAAGAAAAGCCACACAAATTAATATTTTCAAAAGGATATTTATAATACCAAGATAACTTTGTATTGGATAAGCACTGTGGAAGATAAAAGGATACAAGAATATAAAGTACTTACTTGAACTTTTAGAGGTTCCACATGATTCAGATATATGTGAGCATCTCCTAATGTGTGTATGAACTCCCCAGGCTGAAAAGGAAAGGAAGATACATGTGGTTTTGAAATAGTCAGGTTTCAAGAAAGCAAAGCATTACAATGCTTACAGTATTGATTCTTAGCATCTTCCAATAGTGTGGAATTGCAGCTTCTGTACTGGATTGGATTATCCAGACATCCTTGCAAGCGTCGAAGGACACTGTCTTCCCAGACTAATGCATAATTAATAAAAAATATAATGAAATTTCCACTAGCTTACAAAAAAAAATTACCTTTGAAATACTACTGGGATAACAGCTATGGTGAATGAATGGAGCACTACTGATCTGTTCACCAAGACGGAAACAGACTGACATTCAGCTTTCCCACTCCACTTCTAGTAAGTAGGAGTTGCCAAAACTGGTTTCAAACTAGTTGTCTTAGCCACTACTAAACTATGTAGTTTGTGGCAGTAGAGATGTCAGTCAGAGGCTAAAGCCCAAAGCACTTATGAAGCATCCAGATGGGCTTTGCAAGCTTGTAAGTTCTGTAACTTAGCAGCCCCTGAGCGATCTAATTTAACTTTGGTTAAGTTTTACCAGCTATTTTAGTGGCCTCTGACCAATGCAGATCAGATATATCATGCTAAAAAACAGCATGAGAACAAGTGTCTAAGAGGCAACAGCTGCTTTACGGACTTACCATTAAACTTCAGTTTTTCAAGTATCTTGGCCTAATTTCTAAAGCGTGTCTGCAATCGCTATGAAGTCCTATTCTTTCCTACTTTCCTATTTTAAGTTTCCCTTCATGTTGCTTGTAGCAGGAGGATCAGGCCCAAATGGCCTTGCTACTATAATTTTTTACATGCTCTAAAGAAAAGGGGGATTCATTTGTACAAGGTTGTGGTGCATTTAAATTACTCTGCCAAATTACAAAATACTGCTCTGAAATTGGGGCAGTAGCTATTTGAGCACATACTATCACTGTGCATAATCATCTGCAGTAGGAAATGAAAAAAATACCCAACTAAAATGATAGCTGGAAGTTAGGTGGGCAGAATATCCAAATTGGAACCTTGACAGCAACTGCTGAGCCACTATTTGTTTTCAATAAAAAACACATGCTACAAAATTTAATCACTTGTATGTTATTAACCCATGAGGACAAGTGCTCAGTTCAGATTTCTAAGTGGAATAGGTCAGCTTTGACACATTCAGTTAAAAAACCTGGAAGATCTTTTGTCTGTTTGACCTGAATTTAAGAATTCTTACATTGCTGATGCTAACTGCCCATAAAGACCAGAAACAACTGACATTGAAATCATGGGGCCCTTTCTTTCACAGATTTCAGCAAGACTTTAAACAATATGTTCATTCCAGTTGTTTTTTTTTTGGACATGACATGAAGAATCTTATCCTCCCACCAGACCAGGTTGCCCAAAGCCCCGTCCAACCTGGCCTTGAACACTTCCAGGGAGGGGGCATCTGCAACTTCCCTGGGCAACCTGTGCCAGCGTCTCACCACCCTCATAGTGAAGAATTTCTTCCTAATATCTAGTCTAAATCTAGTAAAATTATTAAATAGCCTACCTTCAGCCCTGTGACATGGGCAATCATGTATGTGAGCAGTGAATAGCTGGCAATATTGAAAGGCACTCCTAGTCCCATATCTCCAGACCTCTGATAGAGTTGGCAAGACAGTTCACCGTTTTGAACATAGAACTGGCAAAGCGCGTGGCATGGAGGCAAAGCCATCAGAGAAATATCTAGGAATTGCAGTACAGGAAGGAGGGGAAAAAAAACATAACACCATTAGTACACTATAAATGTAGAAGATGCAAAACATGAACAAGCATTACTTGAGATATAGTAGAGAGCAAAAATCCCACTGCAGTATGATTCTGCTGCTTTTTCTCGTTTAAAAGCACCTGCTGCCTAAGCAATTAAGTGTGGGTCATGGCAAGCTGTCTCTTGGGCTGTATGACCAGAAAAGTCATAAACAGATATTCCACAGAACAGATTTATGCCATAATGCTGCACAGCAGTTTAGTTTTACTCACCTCAGTGAGACAGTCAATTTCCCTAAAGGAGATATTAAGAGTAAAATTAAGCATATACCCTAAAGCGACCTCCAACTGCTCCATCTTATTCTCTTCTCATTGCAATCTGCCTTTGCTGCTTGTTGAGATATAAAAGAAATTATCAATAAAAAAATAATAATCAGAAAACAGAGTATCTTTTGAGTGTTTATCTACACTTAAAAGTGCAGACAGTGTAATTATATGTAGGTAAGAAAACTTTAACCAGGTATCTCCTGATATGTGAGAACGTTTGACTTGTGGCATCCCCTTTCAGAGACAGGAGTGGTGATTTTTTTTCTGCACAGATATCCTGCTGCTGAAACCAAAACCAGCTAGTCTCTGGCACTAGCTCCTCTTTAGAAGTAGCCCTACAGAGTGAACAGAGATCTAGACAATCTATGTTCAAGGAGAATATTACAACAAAAATAATACCTTTGTTCTGTGGTTTTAAGTTTTTTTGCAAGTTTACAATTTATTATATGGCTAAAAACCAGACATACTGCTTTGGTATACTTGTTTGTTTGGGTTTTTTACACCTTTTTAAAGTAAGAATTGCTGCTGAACAGAGACCATATGTCAAAGACACTGGTAGCCAGTTACATGCCTCACTTCAACCTGGAGAGAAAAAACTTTGAAGTAATGGTTCAAAATTTTTGAGATCTGAACACGAGAAGCAAAAAGAAAACCAAGCTTAGAACCCCTGGCCATTTTTTACTGCATTCCTGGTAGTTTTATAAAGAATAAGCAAGGACACCAAATGGAACTGACCATTGCTGCAGGATTAAAACATAGTTTAGCATACAGCAAGATAGCGTGCAACTGCATTCACTTAAAGTCTGCTGTTCCATACCTTTGGGATTCCAAGCACACATAATGATTCTTCTGTCATCTGGATTGGTTTTGATCGTTTCGATCACTTTTTGCAACTGATCAACTCCTTGGTTGGAGTAATCTGAAGAAAGATACCAAATAAGATCTCAGCCAGATAGATTCAAGTCACAGTATTATTGTAAAGCCCAGCCCACACACATCCCACTGAAAAGTGATACCCAAATAACCACCTCCAAAGACTTTACTGTAACTTTGAAAGTGATTAAACTTATCAGGTGGCACCCTCCAAATGCAGGATATTCTCTGTTTTCCTTAGGGTGCTCTAAGACTTACAAAATTCTCACGATAGTATTTTCATATATCCCCCCATCCTTTTGCTTCGAGTACCTTTAGTACCCACTGAAATAGGACCATTTCAATTTAGAACACTTTATTCCAAGACTCAACAACTAGACAATTTTTTAGACCAAATAAGAAGTCTGCACAAACACTACATCCCAGGAAACAAAAGCTGCAACACAAAAAAATTAGCTGGACAAAGCATGCTACTTTGTCATTCATGATGACTTGTTACCTAAACGAGACAAAAGCTGCACTGGAATGGGCAAGATATTACCACCTAATTATTTATAGTATTTAAACTAATCTGCCGATTGCATTTCTGGATGAAGATGCCTTTCTAGATGTTAAACTTGCATATTACAGTGCCCCTTCTTTAAAAAAAAATAAATAAATTATGCCCAGACCAGTAACATGGAGCACCGGCATCTTTGCACACTCAAAAGGAGAAAGTTTTTGACAGATGAATAAATGCATCCATCTAGCACTCATAAGGGCATGTATGAAAACTAAATTTCCAGAGCAGAAGGGAACTTTAATCATGTATAGCACAGGATATTACACTTCACCCAATGACGCTCACAGGATGAATTTTAGGCTCAATACCAGTTATATAAGAAAATTCACTGGAATTAACTGAACATTAGAAACTATTCCAGAATAAAAGAGCCATTAGCTGTTACTCATTGTTCTGACTCATGCCAGTGAATCAGCATGGCTGGTAACTAATTTTTTCTAATAACTCTTATTGGAAAGCAACACCAAATTATAGTTATAGGAAGACTCAAGCTGGCAAACAAGGTAGTAATATGTAATTAGCATCTCAGGGCATTCTTCTGCCAGTGATACTGGGCCAGCCTTTTCAAATGGTTATGTTAGATCCTGAAGCTAATTACCTATCCATTAGTAATGCACTTTAAGGAAATCCATGGGAATTTATCTTGTTCAGTTTTTCCCAAGTTATGCTATGCCTCAGACATTTTAAGTTCAGGAATGCTGAAACATTTCAGTAACTTTTTAGACGTGCCAGTTCACAATTTGCATCATTTGTGTTAGTGTAAAACTGTATTGTACCAGCAGTCAACATGCCAATACTAAGTCTAATATCTGTAACTAATGTGAGCTGAAAAAAACATAATTAACCATGCTATAATTATGAACTAAAAAAAAAAATTAAAAAATCACACCATCCACACAGGGACTATCTTTTACGACTTTTATTTTTTTTAATTGCAATCCTCTAAACATTTTGTACATCCTCTCCTTCAGAGACTTAGAAGAGAGCAATCAAGACACTTCAGGGAAAGTTTAATGAACCAGATCCACTGAAAATAACACCAACAGATACTGCATCACATCATAAATTGTTACAGCTATTCTGTCTGCAGTACCATCAGCTACAGATATCTTACTTTGTTTCAGCTGCAGAATGGAAAAATCTTTCTCTTCCACAGCCTCCAATGAGTGTAGTGCACTAACATCACTTCTTGCCAGCACAACTGTATCATGGGAATTAGGAGCCTGCATTGGTATTCTGGAAGTGAGGTGTCACAGTCGCCTCAACAAGCACTCAAGATTGCATTTGCATGTGATTACCTGTGTGCATATCTTTGTATTCTGCTCCAAAGTGCCTCCACTGGAAACCATAAACTGGTCCCAGATCTCCCTCCTCTCTGGTGCTGAAACCTTGCTTATCCAGGAACTCACGTGATCCATTAGCATCCCAAATCTTCACACCCTTTGCAGAGAGCTCTTTTGCATTCGTAGAACCCTACAAAACACAGACAGCAATAAGTCTACATCCTAATCCCAGTACAGAAGACATGATTTGAAATAGCTCCATTAGGCTTTGCTAGTCTACAGTATTCCTCCATTTGTAGAAGATGAACAATCCAATTAATGGACTGGATGAAGTTCTTGCACATGGACACAGTAAAACTTACGAGTGTACTAGGACGAAGTCTGAAGTGCCATACAGATGTTATTTAACTCAGGATTCTTCTAACTTTGTGAATACACAAACAGTACAGTCTCAAGGTCAACTGCAGTATATTACTTCATACACATATTTGGAGAGAACAAGATTTTATTTTACAGATGGATAAAAATAGGCAAACAAAAATTTTCCAGCCTAGACACTGTCTTTGCTAAGCCACCTATAATGAGCTTAAGGTCTTAAAATCCCTTTTGTTAAAATGACAAATATGACAAAATGACCCAGAGAAATCTCACAGAGTTCTGCAACATGTCCAAATCAGCACACTCAAAAATCCAACATAGAAAGTGTTCTGCTCTGGGGAGTATCCAGTCTTTTTATATTTGAAAAAAAAAGATACTTAAAAAAAAATGAATGTGTATTTGAGTCCTGCTATCTAGCAAATGGTCAGGTAGACTTTCCCATACCTGCACAATGTCATGACATATAAGGGAACACACACTGTAATGTATTATCTACAGCTGAATTTTAATACTCTAACTACAGCTGTCTATTCAACTCAGATTTTTGCTACTAAAAAGCCTACTGTTTACATCAGTCTTAATTAATCTGTGGTTCTGCATTGCTTGTTTCTGTTCAGATCTTGCTATCTCAGCATTAAAAAGTAGATCATTAAATTGCCTACAATCTACTTCACATTATTATCTCCTATTCAAACATAAGAGACTGTACTAAGCTTTGTAACTGTGCGGTATAGTTAAATCGGCAAAAGCCCTCACTATTTCAGCCTATTTCTCTTAAAAAGAGACAGAAGAAAAACTCTTCTGATTGGTAGCAATGCAACAGTCTCCACTAAAATGTACAGAATGCCTTGAAGATAATGGCCTTCCATGCAGTCAAAATATCTGATGGTTGCACTTCTTCTGTCATACGAACAGCTATCTGCAGTTACCCCAAATTCTTTAATCCACTCCACACCAGTTTGCTCTACTGATAGAGCCACTGCCACATTCAGATACTGAACCTTGATAAACCACAGCAGCTCCTCCAGCACTCCTTTCCAGAACACCTTCTTGGTTGTTAGCAGTGGAAACTGATCTGAAAGAGAGTTTCAGAGGGGATTTGTTAGGCTGAACGTAGGTTTTTCTCCACATAGTGGGTAATGCCACCATCTGACATTCGGAGGTTTGGATATGAAGTAAGGAGTTGGGAAAGGATGTGTAATTCTCATATTCAGACCAAGGAATACAAGAACTTGACTTTTATTTTCCTGGACAGAGGGGGAAGATGAATTAACCATGGGGACTTTGAAAAACTTCACTGTGAGGACATTGGTGCAGTGGATGGATGGATGGGTGGGTGGATGTGTTGGAATCTGCAACAGAAAGTGTAGGCTTAAGACAAAGTTACTGCCAAATCTACTTCACAAGCCACTCTTCCTACTATGCTTGAAAAGCAGGAAGGACCAGGACAGCCTATCTCAAGATCTTACCCGTTTTTTTCACCAAATGACAGCTATGGGGACAGGCCAGGCCTGGCTGCCGGGCCGAGGGAAATGGGTGGGGGGGTCCGAGCAGCCGCAGCCTGGCGGACAGGGAGAGGGCGGAGGAGCTGCTGGTACAGACCTAAATGCCTCCACAGGCCCCTGCAGCGGGGCGCAGCCCCGGCCCTGAGCAGGCGGGAGCGGGACTACCCCGAGGAAGAAGATGGCGCCCCTCTCCCCGCACCCCGACTGGGTGCAGTGCGGCGACTGTCGGAGCCGCGAAGGGCAGAGGTAAAAGGGTCCCAAAGATGCCGACCTCTCAGGCTGTACCGCGCCTGCATGCCGAAGACGGAGATGGTGCCGGTGCCGGTGCGATCCTCCTTACGGTGGCCGTGCTGCAGGATGTGCGGGACCTGTCGCAGATCCTGCGGCTCGCGGGGCTCTGGGCCGCCGGCCGCCTCGCTCAGCAGCTCTCCCTCGGCAGGCATGGCGGGCGAGATGCGCTCCGGGAGGCTCCCTGCCGGCTGGAGTGGGCTGCAGCTACCCGGCTGTCCCACTCCCCGCCGGCCGCCGGTCCGACAAGCCCGCCAAAGCCTGACCTTTCCCGCCAAGTGGCGCCGAGGGGCGGGCAGAGCGGGGCGCCACCGCCGCTTCCTCCCTCCCTTCGCTTTCTCGCCCCGCCCCGTCCCGCCACGGTCCTGCTGTAGGCCAGCGCCTCCGTAGCCGGGAGTGAGGGGGAGGTTGTAGCCGTTCGCTTGCTGCCCTGATAAACTTTCTCGCCTTCCGCTGGAAATCCTCCACAGCCGCCTTCTCTGCCCCCCAGCGGAGACTGTCTCCCTGAGGGAGGGCTGTCCCCAGCACCAAACCCGAGTCCGCGCTCCGAACCTCACTGTTTTTTCGTCATTCTGCTCCCAGTCACTGGTTTCATTACAGGAGTTAATGACTGCTAATCTCACGATAAGGAGCTTGTAAAATGGGCATATATAATGGAAGTTGAACGGAACAGAAAACTGCAGACTAGAAAATGGTACTTCTCCTTAGAGTGGAGTGAAAGATGTATCTCTTCCACAAATAAAAACAATTAAGTGGTCTTTTTCCAATGTAGACGTGTATGCTTACTTGCATGTATAGAAGTAAAGAAAAAGATATGGTATGATTAGGGTACGATTATTTTTCTGTACTCACATCTAATATACACTTTGAAATGAGTGCAATTTATGTAGCAGAGATACAGTTGGAAATTGTGACTATCACTACAAATAGTGCTTAGAAATGCCAGGCATAGCAAATGAAACCAAATCACCTAGAGCTCTGCTTCTAACAGAGAGATATGTCAGTTCTTAACCTTTATTATAATTTGCGAATACCATTGCAAGCTAATGTGTATAATTTAGGAAAAAAACAAGCATCTTTTCTGAAAAGGATGCCCTGTTAATTATGACTCCTGAGGCGAACTGCAAGTAAGAAATGCCAAAGGCAGAAGACTTACTCATTACTGCATATTCAGAAAAGTAATTTAATGTACACAATGAACATCAAAAGCAACTGAAAAAAGAAATGGAATATTTTCATTGGAAAATATTATGCTACATGCATATGGAAATCTGGTTGATTCAGACTTAGCTGAATGTGCAACATCTGTAGGGACCAATCTTGAAAAGGCTTAAAATGTGCTTGAATTTAAGTATGCAAATAGGGATTATTTGTATGCTTACAGCTGATTATTTTCTTAAATCTTTGCATAAGCAGGGCCATAGCTGGTTATTGAAGATTACCTAATTTACAACATAAATAACATTCTGTGTAAATAAATGAACATTAAAATGGATTTGAATTTGGTTTTGAATTAAAAGATTTCTACAGTCTTCGGTTGCTAGCTCTTATGTCACAATATTTATTAAGTAAAATTTTATTTATATGCAACTATTTTAACCACAGTCATTTAACAATTAGCTGTACGTTGAGATTAGGGGTATTTGACCTAAGGAGTATATACTGGATTTCAGGAAGAAAGAGTTCACACATTTTCTTTCCTAGGAGAAAAAAAAAATTGATTAAACATTTTGATTTTGGACTGAGAAAAAGATGTTAGAAAAAATAAGTGGATGGGGAATGTATCAGTACCCTGCTGTAGAAACACACATGACATAAAAACCAGACTGAAACAGATTATGATCCTTGTGGTCCTTTCCAACCTGGTATTCTATGATTCTGTGATTTATTTTTTTTTTTATTTTTTTTCCCTTCTTGTAGGTCTTTCTGAGTTTTAACTCTTTGCTTTCATCATGATTTAATGCATCCTGAATCTGTTGTGCAAACTGAACGTAAAATGGTATTGTGATTTGGAAATTAATGCCACTTACTTTTCTTAGGTATGAAATGGCTACACAAGATACATTGCACATAAGAGCCAGACTAAGATTCAGGCTAAAAATCATAATCAGTCTAAGGAAATTATTATTTTCACATTAGGCCTTAGGTCTCACATTCTCTGAAATAGTATATATCAATAACTGCATATGTATTACAGAGAATTTTGAAGGAAAACTGTAGAGAAACTCTGCTGAACATTTTGTCTTATATGTTTATAGATATATGTTTTTAAATTTCTGTTTTAAATATACACATAATTTCCCCAATTTTTACCTAATCAAAGTTCATGGTGAGTCTTAATATATTCTATCTAAATTCCGCAGCCCACCTCAGCTGGAGAAAGTGATTTCTCTGGTGGAAGTGATTTCTTTCATCTGTTTAAAAATTATGAGTCTAACCTCAAAAGAATAGCCAGAGTCAATAAAAAACACTGAAATTTTCTTTTCCTTATCTATTTTGTTAATGTTGAATCCTTTTTAACATGCCTCCTGAGACTTTCTGTGTGCATTCAGGTTGTTCTCAGCTTTATTTGCATAGATGAAGATGTCAGGCACCCATGACCTGAAGATGAGCCACATCTAAATCTAGTACCTCCTCAGAAGACTGAGGGGACCCTGCAATGCTTTGTCTGTAGGTTTCACGCTTTTTGTGGCTATGGCCCCTAGGAGAGCCATCTGTGGGAGTTAAGAGGCCACCAGAGCTGCGCACCCCGGAGTACACTGGGTTTCCCTGTGTGGCCAGCTACCCCCACAGCAGCATGATACCACCTGAAACCCCATCTTTCCTCTAGATTCACCATGAGGTTAGAGAATACAAAGCATTTTTTAACCCTGCCTCTCCGCCTGGTTCTTCCCTCCCTGTCTGGAAACCTCTTAAACATGGAGAGTCCCTCTGTGAGCCCTTTCTACAAAAATGGTTAGAAGCTCATGAGAGGGATCTTTTCATGAACATTCCTACGAGTCAAACTACAGACTGTTTACACGTAATCAAAGCAGAGTGCTGCTGATGGGAAAATGGTATGGTAAGACAGCATTTTCAAGTCCTGGTACTGATTCTAACTTTGCACTCCTTTTTTTGTTATAAATAATAAGAAGCATCCTCTTAAACACAACCTAAAATAAAAACCTTAATGAATAGTGGTGATTCCAGTTCATTTGTGATTAATGAACACAAAGATATGATTTCTGATGCCAAGGCTCTAGACTGTGGTTGTGAGGCAATCCTTTTCTGAAGAAACATTTATCATCACGTTACCTCATCCCAGATGTTACTTAAAGATTGAGGGTTTCATAGTTAAATAAGTCAAGTCTTTCAATATGATCATGTCTCTGTTTTGCAGGCTAGAACATTGACCATTTGTTTTTGCTTTCCATAATGCTTGTTTGACTCTCAGTCAGTGTGTCATTTCTGAGGAGATGGTCTTGTATATACCGTGACTGAATCCTGTTCCAACTAAAGTTCATTGCAACGTAAACATGCCTTATGATGAATTGCATTCTCTATAAAAGGAGAAGAAATGAACTTACCACTTAAAAATTCTGCTTATATAGTTGCAGTGCTTTCCCAGCTATGTATTCAATGAATTCAGCACTCTTTGGGTCTAAGTTGGGAGGAACTTTAATGGTGAAAGTAGGTGAAGTCAGAATATTTACATCTACCACTGTTTCATTTTTACCAGTCGGATCCCCAGGTACCACCTAGAAGAGAAAAAAATCAGTACTTCAGACACTACAAACTACTGCATACTTTCAGGTTTGTTTATACCTACTGTGCCTACTGTCTTTAATACGGGAAAATTAAATAGAATATTTTAAACTTGTCTACTTTCTTTAAATTACTTTCTTCTGAAAAGTCAGTGGGTGAGTTTATGCCACAGCTTATTGTAGGTGATGGGAAAAGCTGAAATGGCACTGCAAGACCATCTTAAAGAATTGCGTGTTGATATTTATACCATGAACTACATCTATAAAGAGCTTCTGATCTCCTAATGAAAACTTGTATGTGAGTTGTCCCACTGATTTCAAGACAAAGGTTGTGTGATTGAAGTTATTCATTCCTGTGTGTTTTTCTAAGCCAGGCTTAGTTCTGTAGCTTTATTTTTCTAGAGCCGATAGCTCAGACTCGGTTAGGAAAGTGTGCTTAAATATTGCCTGTCCCCTTGTTCCTGATTTTGGTGGATTGCTTAATCATTTCGCATAAAGTTTTGTAGTAATAGTAGTACATTGGAATTCTGAGTTGGAAGGGAGAATAGGATTTGTCCCTTGCCCAGGAAAATGGATTGAATTTACATTGGATATAGTCTTGTTTGTGAGACACAGTTAATCATGATGTATTTGTTGGAGTACTGACAGATGCTGTTAAAGATATGCAGCTTCCACTACAATGACCTGCATAAAATTTGTCTTCTTTGAGCTTTGGGATATATAGGTGCAGACACAGACATATAGCTAGGTATTCAGTGATCCAATAAGGATGTGTTATTGACTGGTGCAATGAAATTTGTCTGGGAAGGTGATCTGAGGCCAGTTGAATCTGCCAGTGTCAATTTAGTCTTATCAGACAGTGATTCAGGTTAGCCTGTCAGCCATCCATCAGCCTAAAAGGATTTAGAGGAAAATAGTTTCTAATCTCTGAGGTTTCAGCTCATCAAGGGATTGTCAAGTATGCATAAATTCAAGATGAGTAGGAACTTTGAGTTGTAAAACCCGAACAGTACACATGTACTTACATCCACAATCCCCAAGAGTGTAAGTATGAGCAAAGCATAGGTCAAAGACTGCACTGTGCAATAGTTTCCTTTGGAAGGCAACCCCTTACCTTAACTATATTGAAAATGTTTTCTGGTCCGATGGTCATATTGGATAACTCAGACACCCACCCAAATCTTTCTTTCATTTTGTTCAGCAAGTAGGAAGTGTCTTCTGTGTGACGCTGAACCACTTGGAGAATCTGCTCATACTGCTCTCCTGAGAGATTAACCAGCTTAAAGGCTTCATCAAACTTTATGTGCAGTTCGGGAACATTTGGGCAATCTGTTAGAAAAGACAGCCAGCATGAAGCTTATAGAAAAGTAATAAGTCTTTTCTATTTGAAATACAGAAAACGGTAAAAAAATCTAGCAAGGAGGCATGTTTTGTGTTGGTGTTGAAATAATGCTAAAATAAGTGTAATTCTTGATGGCCTATTT